TTACGATGGGGCTGAGGATGACACTGAACTTCTAATCTTCCAGCCTTCCACTCCACAATGCCCAGATTATGTACGTGTGCCAGTGCTTACTATGCAGCTCTGGGGATGGAGCCCAGGGCCTTGTGCCCGAGGAGGTGACTGCTCTGCTACACACCAGCCCTGCTGCCAATGCATCACAGCAAGTGTCCACCTGTGAGGAAAATCTGCCTGAGATGTGCTCCTTTCTGTCTGGCCACAGAGAGAGGCACTATTTGCAGCGGCTCTCGGAGACAGAGCATAGAAGAGTGGTCAGTGCAAGCTCCAGGCTGACCCAACCACAGCCTCTTTAGGGGCAAAACCCCCTCCTGATCCACAAACTCCACTGGGAATAAGGCACAGAGGGTAAGGAGGAGCCATTAGGGAAAATGGTAATCAAGAGAAATGACTGCTTAATTACACTGGAGGGGGGGCGGCATGTCTGTTAAGACAGAAAATAAATCCACATTTCTAGCTCCCTGAAGTCTATAAAATATTGGAGGCCTTTTATGGTTGTAATCAAAAACCTCATTTCTCTAGCCACTGCTGGCCGGATCTAATTAGGGTGAGGTACGCTAACGGCACAAGCCTGGCCCGGGACATTGCTCCTTGTGGTATTAATTGCATTTAAAGAGGAAGCATGAACCACACTCATGCTCACTAATTAGTGTGAGGTTACTAATTAATAACACAAAGTCAAACTGCCTTTGTCCTGCCATTAGTGATTAGCTCAGTATGGCACAGTTTCCCTTCTACTGCTTGTGAACAAGCTGGGAGTCAGATTCCAGCAGGCAGAAGGCTAGAAGCTGCAGGATCAGGCAAGTCCCCAGGCCATGTCCCTGTTAATGCTGGACACTTGTGTGATTCCTCTACATGCAGGGAGTGCAAGCCTCCCTCTCAGGGCCAGGATGGTACTCGCTCAGCTGGCCCTTCTTCACAGCATGTAGCCTCAGGAAGACAGAGGGACTGGAAGCAGGATGACCAGCCCATGGCCATCCCGGCCTCTCTGGCAGCTCCAGGGTGTACCTGCTTTGTCTCTGGTCCTTCTCCATAAGAAAAGGGCCTGAGGAGTTAGCAAGCAGAAGGCACCTCACAAGCAAGTGGATCCTCAGTAAGGGGAGGGGGAGGGTTAACCAGTGGAGGGGGAGCCAGGGGCCATGCACAGCTGATTAGACATGAGGGGGCTACCACAGGCTGAAGGTAAAGTAGAATGACAAAGAAGTTCGGTTGTCCTCACCAAGTCCCCTAGGAAACCCTGCTGGAAGCCTTCCTCCTACAGGCCTCCTCAGGACATTGAATGGCAACATCAGCTGTATCTCAGGTCCTGCAAAAGTATAGGACTCATAGCACAGGGGGAGGCTGGAGATGCAAATTTAAGCCTAGAAAAGGAGGCAGTTGTGGTGGGTATGCCTCTAATCTGAGTACCTGGGAGGCTGAGATGGGGAAACAAGAGTTTGAGGCCAGCAGCCTGGGCTACAGAGTTGATCCTTACTCAAAATGCCAAAGCTGGGACTGAGATGACGGTTCGATCAACCAAACAGTTGCCTTACAGCAAGGAAGACTTTATTCTGACACTCAGAGAGCCAGGTGTAGCTGTGCACATTCAGAATCCCAGCAGCAGGGAGATGGGAGGTGGACATCAGATCCCTGCAGGCTCATGGGCAAGGTAGCCTAGCCTAGGTGCCATTGTTCCAGGCCAATGAGAGAACCTGACTGAAAACAGTAAGGGGAGGGCCTGAAGAATGCTACCGAGGTTATTCTCTAATTTCACATGCATGCATCCATATGTACACCCATACAGGCACACATGCACTCAAATACGTACTTACAGCCGCAAAGAAACACAAAAGAAGCAGTAATAAAATAGAGGAAAGAAATGTAGTTGTTAGTAGCAAATGCAGTCGTGAGGGCAAGAAGAGGCGGGTGGAAAGGGATTTTAGAGAGACGACAGTGTGCTACCAGCCAACGACCCAGGTGACCTGTGCCTGCCACATGGGAGCCACTGCTACACATGGCTACTTAAAGCTCCAAATTCAACAGGCCTCCTGTCATGTGGTAAGGCTAGGCATGCAACTCATTTAATACATGGTTCCACAGAATGCTGATCCTGATACTCTGGTCCGCTGCTCTGGGGAAACCTCCCCTCACCAGGCTCAGAGTAGCCAGAAGGCAGGTTAGGCATCTGGGGCAGCCAAGCCTCAAAGGTCAGTAACAGTTGGACATGAACATGAATCTGCCAGGCCCGGCCACTGCTCCTCCTCAAGGCCTGCCTGAAGCCAGGGTAGGGCCTACTCAGCCAGCAAAGACATCCCTGAAGCAACCAACCCCTGTTGGAAGGATGGAAGATAAACACATACTTGTGACATCTGTGTCACAGGTCCCCAAGCACTGCCACTTCTTATTTTCCTCTTAAGTGGGAAGGAGAAGAGAAGAGATACCAGCACTGTAAAGTGACCTGAGATGAGGCAATCAGAGGCAGAGATCAGAACCTGGGCAGAGGAGACAGCTCCAAACAAAGCCCTAAACAAACAGGAAGGGACCCTGCCCCAAGGGCCTGCAACCAATCCAGCAGCATCAGAGATTGGCTATCTTAGAGCCTGTGGCACCTGCCCTGCTCTCAAGGGTCAAAACCAACCATATTTACTAGAGTCCTGCACTGGCCACGGCCTTGCTTGGTCACTACTGCTGTGATGGAACAACACGGCACAGGCGCCTCCAGGAGAAAGGGGCTCATTGCACTCATGGTTCCACGAGACTTCCTCCCAAAAGCAATGAGGGCAGGACCTCACGCAGGGCAGGAACCTGGGGTAGGAGCTGATGCAGAGGCCATGGAGGGTGCTGCTTCCTGGCTTGCTCCCCATGGCTTGCTTTCTTATGGAACCCAGGACCACCAGCCCAGGGATGGCCCCACCCACAATGGGCTGGGCCCTCCCTCACTGATCACTAATTAAGAAAATGCTGAGCCTCCCTCCCTCTAATGACTCTAGCTTGTGTCAAGCTGGTATAAAACTACCGAGCACAGGGATGGTTCCCAAGTCCTCTACAACCAGGGGCGAGCCTCTGCAAGAAGACAGGGCTGGGACTAGGGTGGCAAGATAGACCATGGAGAAAAGCACTTGAAACACAAGCCAGAGAACCTGAGTTTGATCCCCAGCACCTAAATAAAGCTGGAGGTGGTAGGAAGTATCTATAATCCTAGTCTTTTACAGAGAGATATGGGTGGTGACAGAACCTCAGAGGACAGCTAGCTGGGCATACAGTGGCAATGAGACACTGCCTCAAACAAGGTAGAAGGGAATGACTTACACCCTCTGACTTCTACATGCCAAGGCCTGCCCGCCTGCCCTCCCTCCATCCCTCCCTCCCACACATACAATGCACATACGAACAAACATTTAAAAACAAAACTGAGGCAGGGTAGAAGGCCAAGCTCATTGAGACCAAAGCAACGCAGGCTGAATCTCACGCTGCCAGAGCCCTGGGATTCTAAGTCAGTTTCTGTGGTGGTCACTAGTGCCACTAGTGCTTTCCAGGGACACAGGATGAGAGGCCAGCTTAGCCTCAGCACTATGCCACTCAGTGCGCCCTATATTCCCACAGCACGAGTGGGAGTCTGTGAGGTACCCTGACAGGAGCTACCTAGCACGAAGGGCCTGAGAACAGCTTCTGCACCCTGCCCCTAAAATGGACACAAGGCTCACAGTTCCTCCGAAGTGACACGGAAAGCACGAGGCCAAGCCAGGCAGCCATGCTTCTGTGCAAATGCACCCTGGGTGATGACAAGCTGCTTAGCCACAGAGCCCTAGGCCGGCATGCGCTTAGCACAACTCATTTCTAATTCCACTTGGCCTTGTGTACATTATGAAAACAAGGCCCTGGGGTACATTCCAATTCAGGTCAACACCGAGGAAGCCACGCATGTCAATGCGCAGAACATCAGGCTCTCCCCAGGCTGTGCAGACTGGTGCTCAGCTCACAGAAACCCCCACACCCCTACATGTGGCACCCCTACACGTGGCTTCCCCAGTGGCAATGGCAAACAGCCCACTGCTAAAGGAGGCTGGAGCACTTGGATCGCAGGGACAAAGCCCAAGAGGTCATCTGTGGAGACAAGAGGGCTACCACACTAACCAGCCCACAGCCAACACTGCCTGGGTTAAACCAGGTCCTACCATACCTGACAACGTGCCAAAGTTAAAGAAACTCACCATGCCCACTGACAGGTACCACGCTCACAGTCCACAGACTCTCTTCCACATTCACTGTGAAATCTCACAATCTACAAAACCATTCCCTCCGTGCTCCCCGCACTCTAGGCCACAGGCCTACCTGGCCTGTTACCTCTGAGCACAGCCCAGGCACCTTTCCCCCTCCATGCCGTCTTAACTGTCATTGTCCACCTGACTGACACCTTGCTGCTTAGACTCTGCTTGGTCACAGTCTGACTCCTATGCTGGCGACAACACACTTGGTGATGGGCAGTGGACACACCAGCATTGTATAACCTTCCCTGATTCTGTATTCCATGACAGGCCTCTCCCACCTCCAGATCAGAATTTCAACCTTGACCCAGAACCCTCAGATTCAACACAAGCCAACCCCACCTGTGAATGCTAACCCTCATTCTCAGAGTCCCACAGGGAAACCCCACCTGTGTTATCTGACCCCCACCTAAGTGCTCGCACACCTGCGGAGCTTAGGCTGACCTGGCCTGACCCTTAGCCACAGGCTCCCAAATGGCTCCCAAGACTCTGGCCGGGCTCACACCTTGGTATCATAAAGGGGTGGGCACCAGGACTCAGTTTCCACCAAAGTTTCTTCTACTCTGCCATTTCTAATAATACCAGAGAAACACCATGACCACACAGGAGGATGTGCCTGTAGGCCAAGCCCTGCTTGGGGAAGGCAGGGCTTCTCTTAGGTGGCCTGCCCTCAGGCAGTCCTTCACCACACAGCACCAAGTGACCCTCCACCTCAGTACTCACCGTGTCAGCTCTCTGCTTCTGAACCCCAAGCTCCTCCAGGGCCTGAGACAGCTGAGACTATAAGAGAAGACCAAGAAGGTTAGAGGTGAGAGGAGATGCCTGTCAGCCTTGGGGTAAAGGGCCTCCCTCCACTCTCCCTGGGTCTGTCAGGGCCACCCTAGTCAGGCCCTGGGTAATATACATTCTGAGCCCACATAATCCCTGCTGTGTGGTCACACACTGCAGTAAGCTGGAGCAAGGAGGAAATCAGCCAACTGAATCCTGCACCTTACAGTTTTCCGCTCTGGAACCACTGAATGAGGTGGTCCTGCTGACACAGGACAAGGCCCAGAAAACTGGGGGCTCTCCAGCACTGAACAGACTGTGAAGGAGCAGGGAAAACCTGGCCTGCTATTCCTAGATGAGAACAGTTCTGATTGGGAAGCCAAGAGTAGCCACACTGTGCTTGAATACTGACAGTCTCCTGACCAGAGCCCAGAGCCTCACCCCAGGGTTCAGCACCCAGAGAAGGATAGCCTTCCTGAGGCTTCCCAACCTCTGCTTTAGCATCCCGGGGAGGAGCAGGCTCCTGGAGGCTGCAAGCACAGACTCAATTTCAGTATAGGAGACCAAAGGTCAAAGAGCACAGAGCTTAGCTCCAGGGTGCCACAGACCCTATCCTCTTGTACTCACAGCATGGCCCCCTCTAGAATGGCACACACTCCTCACTGACTGAATCCACTGTGGTTCTCACAGGCCCTGCTAGACTTCTCCCTGGCAGGCAGTAAGCAGCATGGCCAAGATGCTTGCAGAAATCCATCCTGACCACCGGTAGGCTGCTGTGAGCAATCTATAAATGCACTCCACTGTGCACTAAGCACTTACACTGCAAGGATGTGAGCTCACTGAGCTGGAAGGGTATTGCCCAGACCATAGCAACAGTCACTCCATTGTCAGCTCTGCGACAGGCAAGGGGACTCCTTCTTTCACTCCATCTACTATGATCTGGCCTCTTCCTCTGGGGATTGCCAGAGGCTGAAGTGCCCTGCAGACACCAGGGCAGCTCAGTGCCTATGGGTATTCTGGCACACCATGGCCTCCTCTGGAAGAGCTTTCCTTAGGAAAATGGATCCAGAAGCCAAACACCATAACTCATCGAGTTGCTGGTCAGTGAGCTTGGCAGGATTTGAACCTAGGTCCAACCTGAGACTTTCAAAACTGGAAGAACTGCAAGGCCTACATACCTATTACCAGGGCACACAATATTTCCCCAAACACCACCCTTGCTGCTTTAAGAGGGGGTGATGGAGGTCAGAGGCTGACATCCCCTCCACCTGACTGGCCTCAAGGACGCACACTGATCTGCTACAAAGCAGTGAGGAAAAAAAATAAACAGTGTGACAGAGGAGCAGGCAAAGAGGCAAACAGACATCTCCCAAAAAGGAAACGCACACAGGCGGCAAACACACAGAAAGGTAATTAACATGGTTAGCAATTAGCCAAATGCAAATCAGGACCAACAGCAAAACCACTCTGCAATGACAGGGCTGGCAGAGCCCAGGAAGTGCTGGGGCGCTGACGGGACAGGATGGGAATTAAGCAAGTCTCAGAGCCGGTGACAATGGCAGTGAGGCTGAAGGAGCTCAGACCGCTTCTCCAGGGTGCCTAATGTCTGTGTGTCCACCCCAGCTATGTGCTCACAGGACAGAGAAACACACTTCCTAATGTCTGTGTGTCCACCCCAGCTATGTGCTCACAGGACAGAGAAACACACTTCCTAATGTCTGTGTGTCCACCCCAGCTATGTGCTCACAGGACGGAGAAATGTACTTCTGGGCTGAGGAGATGGTTCAGCAGAAAAAGTTGTTTTCATGTGATGAAAATCTGAGTTTGGATCCCCAAAGTCCATGTAAAAGCTAGACACGGTAGCACACATGTGTAATTCCGGTACTCCTATGTTGAGAAGGAAGGCAAGACAGGAGACTCTCTGAAAGCTCTCTTACCAGTTAGCTGGGCATACACAGGATGAGCACAAGCCCCTGCCTCAGAAAAGTAGAAGGCAAAGATTGACACCTCGGGATGCCCACTGACATCAGCATGCATGCACTCATGTACATGTGATCACGTGAGGACACACACACACACAGACACACACACACACACACACACACGAGCACCTTTGGCTGTGGTCTTGGCCAGAGAAGGATGGTAAATGACAACCTGGCCTGTATGAGCACCACATCTATAGAGAGAAGAGGGGCTGGCTTCCACTGCAGCTCTACCAGCACCCATCCCACACAGGCATCAGGAGGTAACCAGGAGGTTCCCTGCAAGACTACTAGAAAACACTCACTCCAGAAGAGCAAACCTTGCTGGGTAGGCCGGAATCAAACACCGTGCCATGGCATGGCTCCTCTGTCAGGGTCTCATCTCTTGGATCAGCCAAGCATGGTTAGCAATAGCACTGTTGTAGGAAGAGATTGTTGGGAGAACAAGACATTTCAGTCACCATGTCCTCATCCAGAAAGTAGGTCCCTTCTGAGGTCCCTGTGCAAAATGATCATCACACTGTTCTCAGAAGGGACAGAATGGTAGAGTACTGTCTGCAGCTTGAGCACAGAGCCTCTGGAAAATGCCACCTTGGCCACTAAAGGAAGACAGTGGAGGTGATGCCCCAGGCCTCACTGGAAGATAAATCGCAGAACTGAGGACGGAGGATGTGGTGTAATGCCCAGCAGTGGGGGATGGGCAATGCACCTAGACTGAGGAAATATCTCATGGCATCACAGTAAGTGTCCTGCCCTTTGCGGTGACATCAGGGCCCATATGCTCTTGCTTTCTCCCAAGACTTCTAAAGAGGGGCAGGCAGCCCTTATGCAGGAGAATAGCAGCAAGGTCCCTCAGCCCACTGGCTGCCCCTCACCTGCCCACAGCTGGCCCACACAGAGCCAGGAACTAATTCAGGCAGTCATCTCTCATCCCTCTCTCACAGGGCACCAGCTACCAGCCCTGCCCAAGATACGACTACCACCAAGGACACAAAGCCTGGCCTGAGGCTATGCACAGGGAAGACAGGCTAGAAGACTGCTCCAGAAATGGTACCAGTTTGGAGAGGGCAAAATCAGCCCCTACTCGGGCTCTGGAGAGACAGACAATAGTATGGGGACAGCACAGATATGCTTGGTCTCAGGTGTGGCCAAGGTGGCAGGTGGGCTAACACATATTTGTTATTCCTGTAGAAGGGCCGACAGTGCTGGCCACAGTCTCCAGCCAAGCCCTGGAGACGCGTGTGTTCAGACAGAAGCCCTGGACATGCGCCACCTGTGACATTACATCCTGCACAGAAGCCTCAGCAGGGCTATTTTTATCCTGAAGTGAGAAGTGTCAGCCTGATGATCTAGCACCCCTGCAGGCACACAGACAGCTCTGAGTATGCAGGAAAACCTGCAGGCAGGGACAGGCTGGGACGGGCCATCCCAAACCCTGAAGGGGATTGGTGTACCATCTGCAACACCACAGCACAGTATGGCCTAGCTGGGAAAACCTGGAGAGTAGGCCATCAGTCCCACCTGGACCCAGGCGGGTAGGGGTCCACCCAAGGTCACAGTTAACACGGAAGAGGCTGGGTCTTAAGTGCTAGGCTTTCCCTTGGGGTGTGAATGTAGATATGGATGCAGGAGCCTCTCCCTCCCGCATGGATGGCAGGCGGAACACCTTCAGTTTCTGGGGACTACAGAACAAGGCAGCCCCTGAGCAGTCAGCCAGCACACTCAGGCATTCACAGCTGCAGCCTGAGCTCCGGGGGTGGAGAGCATTGTGGGCAGGAGTGGGCTCTGCTGGAGTAGAGGAGACAAACAGCCCAGCCTGCTCCACCGGACTCTTCAGGGTTAGTGACTCCACAGCAACCACCTAACTAGAAACAGGAGGCTCCCATCTCTAGCCCATGGCCACTGGTCCTGGCCTACAAGTGTTCCCACTCTCCCTGCAGGGATGCTGAGAAAGCTCAGATCTGGGAGCTGCGGCAGTGGGCAATCAATCAATCTTTTCCGGCATGCAGCCGGGACCCCATTGGCTGCCTATCATCTAGGTGACCTCCACAAAGGCTGCTCTTAACCTCTGATCTCAGCTCTCAGAGGACTTGTCTTCCATCTGTACAATGGGCCCAGTGAGCTGGACTGTAGTTCAGTGGCAGAACAATTCCCTGGGCTCTTCCAGTCACGCCCTCCAGCAGCCTCCAGCACCCATGTCTCAGACGGACTCTTTGGCGTTTTTTCTCCTGTGTTTCCCCCATGGCGTAGTCTTTTCACCAGAGAGCAGCAGGCCAGTGTGTCTGTGAGGGAGTCTCCATGTAGCCGGTCGAGCTGTAACCTGTTTTAATTAAGTATGCTGGAGACAACTCAGGTGACGTGTGGCATCCAAGTGCCACACACTTGTATTTACGGCTCCGTCGGCAGAGGACTCGTGACATCTGCTTCCAACCTCCGCAGCCGCTTTATTAAATGGAATAAATAAAATCCGGGCAAAATGGCAGCAGCCCCACCGGAGACAGGCTACTGGGAATCTCCCAGGTCTACATTTCTAGTTCGTTTTGCTGAAAATGATTTTGCTGGAATCAAAGCACGCCCCATGCTGGAACTGATGCCGGATGCAGCCTGGCCCAGGGCTGTGCTGAGAAGAGGGCTGCAGTGACTGCCTGCCTACCCATGGCAGCCTGGGGCGGGCACACCTGCCTTCCCATGAACAAAACCAGCAAGGAGCATTCCCTCCACCCTGGTCACCAGTGCACAGGAATCCATGGAAGTGCCTGTTGGATCCCAGCAAAAACATGAGCTTGGGGTGAGGGTGGGTAAAGAAAGACAAGAGAGAAGAGCCATCAGGGAGAAAGAGAGAACAGAGGGTAAAGGGCCTGCTGCACAAGAATGAAGACCCAGTGCCCATGGAGAATGTCAAGTTTGGCAATGTGCATCTTAAATCACACTGTGGGGAGGCGGGGAGAGAAGAACCCCATGAGCTTACTGACCAGCTCATCTAGCCAAATCTGAGCTCCAGGTTATGGTGAGAAGAAAGCCCCAGTGTTC